GGTGAGCTCATCCTGGCTCATCCTCTGACCCTGCCGGGTCCTGGCTCCCACCACGGCCTTGGTGTCACAAGGGCTGTGGGATGTAGGGGGACAGAATACAAGAAAATATAGTGCAGAAAGTAATCTCACCCCTAAGGAGCTGCAGCTGGGCCAATTATTAAGATTAGGAGCAGGCCTGACTTTACCAGGCTACAGCTGTAAGCAATGAGACGAAGATGCTATAAAAGAGTGGGGTGGTGGTGAGAGGGGTGTTGGAGTCAGTTGGCTGCTATGAGAAAAAGAAAGAGTCAGTGCTCTGAGAGCTGCCCATGAGGAACACAATAAGGTATGGAAAATTTTCAATGAGGAGACAATAGTGTGGAGCCCCTGTAATAATGTGACAACAGTAGGACAAATGTGAGTTAATGGCATTTCTGTTCACCTTTCTGATATTACTATGCCCAAGTGGGAGGCCTGGGCAGCCCAGAGGTGTTTCCCATATCTGCCTCCTTTCCCAGCTTCAGATCAATCCACAAACTTCATGTATTACAAGTGAAGTTCTAGTGGTGACAGACATGTCACAACACCTCAGGATATCCAGCCTGTCTGATGGGATGATCCAGTGTTATTAAAAGACTCGCTTCACTTTATTAAAAGAGGAATGAATTATATCAGATCCCTTTGTCAAAGTGGTTAGGCTGTACTGAAGTATTTGGATCTTAATTTGATATTTCATTCTCTGCTTCAGACAGGAATATTACTAGTGGGACATTTTATGAGTAAAGATAAATTTGTAATAAACCACGGTGCCTATTTAAAACCTCATTATCCCCATCCTGTTCTTGCCCTGAAAAGCTGCACATGAGCTTTGGTGCCTGTGGGGAGAGGGGGAAAGGCTGGTTCTGTCTGCTCTGACACCCTGGCCATCCCAGCTGGTGCTGCTGGGGCTGGGGTGAGGAAGGACCAGGACAGGGGTGCAGCCAGGTGGGTCAGGGGCTTTGCCAGGTAGTGGGGAAAAAGTGACAGAGAAACAGCCTCCAATTGGGCCAGGGGAGGTTCAGGGGGAATACTGGGGAAATTCCTTCCTGGAAAGGGCTGTCCAGGCCTGGCACAGCTGCCCGGGGCAGGGCTGGAGTGCCCATCCCTGTGCTGGTGTTCACAGGGCTCTGAGGATGAGGGAGGAGATGAGGATCTGACTCCATGTTTCACAAGGCTGATTTATTATTTTATAATATATATTACATTAAAACTATAGTAAAAGAACAGAAAAAAAGATTTCATCAGAAGGCTGGCTAAGAATAGAATAAGAAAGAATGATAACAAAAGTTTCTGTCTGGGACAGAGAGTCTGAGCCAGCTGGCTGTGATTGGCCATGAATTAGAAACAACCACATGAGGCCAATCCCAGATGCACCTGTTGCATCCCACAGCAGCAGATAACCATTGTTTGCATTTTGTTCCTGAGGCCTCCCAGCTTCTCAGGAGGAACAATCCTAAGGAAAGGATTTTCCATAAAATATCCTGTCTACACATCCCTGGGGGATTCACAGCCCTGTGGATGTGGCACCTGGGGACAGGGGCAGGGGCAGGGCTGGGGTGGTTGGACCTGGTGGGCTCAGAGGGGCTTTTCCACCCTGAGCAGTTCTGTGACTTTGGGGTTCTGTGAAATGCACTTTGAAAACCACACAGGGCCTGAGGAGCCGGGGGGTTTGGGGTGGGGAATTTGGGGTTGGAGCCCCCCAAGAGGGTCAGGACCAGGCAGGATCAGAGGTGTGGGCACCC